TCCCGGACTGAAATGGAGTGACTGCTGGCTCAGCATGAGGACGTTGAGTCAGAGCCTAAGACCCTTGGAGGGGTCAGTTTTAAGGCCACCTCTGGCGGGCAAAGAGATCCCATCAGCCTGTTTGTTACAAGACAGATAAAAAATGTTGGAGTTGAGGTACCATAGAAGTGTTGAGGAAGCAAACTTAGCTTTGCCTTAAGAATCAAAGAATTCTCACAAAAGATGCCAGTGACATTTGGATTGGGTATTGAAGACTGAATAGGAATATTTCTGGTGGAAAAGGGAAGAAAAGAATGATGAGAATAGTATGAACAAAGACAGAGTCAAATAAGGTGCATTGTGTCTGAGGCTCAGGAAGTGTGGAAGAGCTTAGTGAGTGTGTGTGTGTGTGTGTGTGTGTGTGTGTGTGTGTGGCTGGTGAGAAATGAGTCTAAAGAAGTAAGGACACCTTCTAAGGCCCATGAAGCACTTTCTCAGGACTGTCTGGAGAGCTGGGGGCAGAGGTTGACAGGTACCTAGGACCAAGATGGCTCTATTCTTTTCTTTCTTTCTCTTCCCCAGTTTCACTGCCCACCAGTTTAGTCAAAACAAAACTTAGATTCGTTCATAATGAAATTAATTATAAATAATAAAGTAAATACTTTTATAAACATTTTATAAAATTCATTTTTGTGGTCACTTACACACCTACAAAAACTCAACTGGTTTTAGCACATAACAATTTTTCTAAAACACAATCACAGTGTACATAATTCTGAGGTTAAGTTCCCGAACCCATCCTCTTGAGAAGCCCTAGCTCATGAGGGTCTCTGAAGAGGGATATGTCCCTTGAACATCAAGTTCAAGCATTCACATGGGCTGGGGAAAGGGCAGACCACCACACCTACCTCATTGCAGAGATGATCCAAAATTTCAGAACTGAATGTTCCTTCTTTGGCTCTATTAAGTTAATGCTTCTAATGTATAATAAACTTAAAAAATATATATACTTTGGCTATTCAAGCTTCTGGTTTCTTAGCAGTGCAAATCACTGCCTGTGGTAGAACAGTTGAAGCCAGGAGCTGATGGAGGAGCGTTATCTCTATTATCTCCGTTCACTGTTAAAAGTACAGCAATAGCAAATTCCTATTTTTCCTTGTCAGGAGGAGAAACTTGGGCTCAGAGGCATTAGATAAATTCTCCAGGGCCCACAAGTAATAAGCACTTTGCTTTTTAGCAGTTGTGCATCGTCCTGTGGTCTGACATCCTTCTGAGAACCCGTAAGGTGAGGGACAGGCCACAGATGGGGAGACCACCCTGAGGGGCGCGCCGGCCATGGAAGAGGAGGGTGGCCTGGCTTTGGAGATGCTTTTGCGCCCTCTGGTGACAAGCTTGAGGTATCACAGACCAAGGAGTACTTGGTGTGCTTAAGTTAAGTGCTCATACACACATGGCATGTGCCAATGTGTGAAAGGGCACAGAGATGGTCAGTGAAGCTGGGAAGAGAAAGGAAGAAGGGACAGGAAGAGCCATCTTAGTCCTAGGTACCTGTCAACCTCTGCCCCCCATCTCTCCACCACCGACAGCCTGTCTCTCTCCTTTAATCCAAGGATGAGTAGCGGTTCTCAAGCCTTGGTGTGAACAAGAATCACGAGAGCTGGGAGTGCAGTATCTGGGCTCCAGCTGCTGAGTTTCTGATTACTAGGTCTGAAGGGGCCACAGTGATCTGCATTTTTAAACCCCATCCAGGTGATTCTATGCAGGTGGTTCTTGGACCACCTTGACTTTCAAAAAGCCACACTGTTCAATGTTAATATTAATATTGAAAGTGGATTAAAGTCTATCTAGGGCTGGAGGGTTTGGGGGGAAATGGAGAGTGATTGTTAATTGGTACAGGGTTTCTTTGGGGGTCAAAATAATGGTGATGTTTGAACAATTCTGTGGAACTGTATACTTAAGTGGGTGAATTGTAGGATAAAAAGTGAATTTCATCTCAATCGAAGTGTTATAGAAAACTTGTTATAAATTCCTTCCACCATAGAAGCCATGGGAAAATCTTAAGAATTGGGTATGAAAAGAAATTTTTATTTTTAAATTGCATCTTCCCACTAAAAGAAGACTGTTAGCTGCCCAAGCTGAAATGATGGTAAGGACATACAGTTCTTGAAAATATATTTCTGGAGAACAGACAGGGGAAAAGTTCTCTGTGGACTAAATCTATTAACATTCTCAGTACCATTTAAGGCAGCTTAGCTGACACTGTTAGCAATATTTCCAAAATGTGTAAACATGTGTGATTCTCACAGTAACCTCTGAGGCAGGCGAGCCAGTGATTATCATTTCCATTTTACTGGTGAAAAAACCGGTGCAAGACAGGAAATATCTTTCTCAGGGTCACAATTAGAAAGAAAAGGGACATGGACTTGAGGTTTCTAGACTCCACATCTTTTTACACTACTGTGGCTTCTTTCCACTGTCAATAACTGTCCTCTACCCCCCAGAGGTTTCCATGTGCTTTATGATGGCCAAAAGCTCTGAGCCTCCTTTGTTTACTTTCCTTGGCCAGAAGGCCCTAGCTGGGCTGATTGCTCTCATTGGTCCCTCGTCTGTCTTGCCCACACTTAACCAACTAGCATCCCCAAATGATCTCTGTCCTCAAGCCCCACCCCTGCTATAGAGCCTCTAAAGGTAGCTATGGGGGCTTGGGTGTGAATTGCAGCTGTGAGATTTACCAACTGGGTATCTGTGAGGATGCCGCTTAATGCATTACATCTCTGGGCATTTGACCTGTGAAATAGAAGGAGATGTTCAACCAGACAAGACTTCTAGGATGTAGCTGAGCTGTCACGTAAAGTGTGGGGCTTAAGGCTGCGTCTGTCCCACCCAATCCTACTGACATTGCATGGCATCGGAGGGATTCTGCTTGGCTCGCCAGATTGTAGCAACCTCTTCCCCTTCCAAAAGAGGTTTTGAGCACACAGGCGTCTGCACCACAGTTTGGCAGCTGGTTAACTTCCAATGAGTTTCCTGGTGTCACTTCTAAATCACTGTTCGTCAGTGTGGTGCTGGATTAGAGTGAGGGTCAGAAAAAGTTGGAGTTCTGTTTTTAAAAATCTAGACATACTGAATCAAAATCTCTTGGGGGTGAGAAAAATCTCTTGTGGTAGAAAACCTTAAATCTGCATTTCCCATAAGCATGCCCCCCCACCTCCCTCTTCCCCTCATTCTTGTATACACGGTAGCTGGTGCCCAGCGAGCCATATTCCAAACAGCCAGAGACCAGGAGGGTTCCGGGGTCTTTGCTCATACCACGTCACTGAGCACACTTCTGTGTACCTAACAGCACTTACGTCGGTACTCGTGTGACTGAAAAGTAGGTACCGTGCTGAACTGAAGAGTTCTCAACCCCACCTGCATCAGAAGCATCTTGTTCATACAGGTTGGCCATCCCCACCCCCAGAGTCTCTGAGTCGGTAGGTGCAGGTGGCACCTGAGGATCTGCATTTCTAACAAGATTCCCTGGTGATGCAGTGCTGCTCATCTGGGCACCACACGATATCACCGTAAAAGTTGGGCTGGGAGATCAGAAGCATCAGCGTCACTGGGGCACTTGGAAATTTCAGCAGCTCAGACTCTACCTGGAACCTATGGACACACAGCTGGCATTTAAATAGGACCCTCAGGAGATCTGGGTGCACATTCAAATGCAGGAAGGGTCTCGGTGTAGTTCCTTTGGACCTCCTGACAAACCTAGAAGGCAGCTGTCACTATCACTCCACTTTCATAGATGAGGACATGGAGGCTGACAGAGAGCGATGGCTCGATGCAGAGTCACACAGCAGACATAGCCAGCAGCAGGGCTGGGATTGGAGTCGGCTTTGCACACACCCAGCCCTCCCCCTCAACACTCAGACACTGTTTCCACGGAAGCCCTTCTGGCGCCTTCCTTCCTTCAGATAACAGTTCTACGAGCCCAGGCCACAAGGAAACCCTGTGCCCAGCCATGTGCTCGAGCCCAAGGCTATGTTGTGTCCACACAATTATGAGATGAGGTCCCTGGCCTCAGAATTTGCCACCTCGTTGAGGAAGTAAGACTCATCCCAATGGAACTAGCAATACCAGATGCCATAAAATTAAGCGTTAAGTTGTATGGTCAGTATCACATTTGATGTTAAAATTACAGTTTGCCTAAAGAGTATGTATGGAGGCTACTAAGAAATTTATGTCAGATTTGTGTCACTGGGTGTCTTCCTGGCTTGTTGCAGACCCTGCACCGTGGAGCCCAGGTATGCTGGGACTTCAAAGGCAGGTGCTGCCTCTCTCTTCCAGTGGGCACTTGCCTTTTCTTTGTGAGGTCCCTTTGTGTATGGAGCTCATGTTGCCATCTCCTGCTGTCACAGGTGAGGGAGGAATTAGAAAAGCAGAGGAGGGGCTTTGATGTTGTTGCTATGGGAGAGGGATCGCCAGTCTCCAGCAAGAGCCCAGTGCAGAGCCAGCTACATAATCCACAGGGTCCAGTGCAAAAATTATTAAGATTTTTGAGATAGTGACAGAAGAGCGTTAAACCAGATGTGAGGCCCATGTAACTGCACAGTTCCCAGAAGGCTGGCCCTGGCCCAGGGGGCTGGAAACAGGACAGATAGCATGGCCCTTTAACTTGCAAATAACTTGCCTGTCAGGGGACAGGTGGTCTGCGGAGGAGAGGGAAGGAGCCAGGACCGGAGGAGAGGAGATAGAGCTGGTGGGGGTGCTGTGGGTTTCTGGGCATAGTTAGGGGGTCTACTCCAGGGCAACTGTGTCTGCCGCTCTCGGCCTGCACCCAGGGGAGAAGCCGAGGGCGCAGGATGGATGCGTCCCCGCCCTCTCCACAAGGGGCTCAGTCTGTTCCTGTTGAGGTCCTGGAGCCGAGGCCAAGGAGCCAAGGTGGGGACCCAGGAGAACGGGAAGCCGGCAGCCCAGGAATGGCCCTCGGTCCTCCTGCCCTAGCCCGGGACTCCCCCTCCTTCCCCCCAAGTCCTCACCTCAGTCTTGGGTCCCGTGTTCTCTGTGGAGCTCTGCACCAGTGCGGCCGGAAACTAGCTGTGGGTCAGTGTCTCTCTCCGTTCAGCAATCAGGTGGGCTGACTGTGATCCTTTGTGGGGCCAGGAGGACAGATGAAATTTGTCCAGATCATAGGTTAAGAATTGCCAACTCTGACCTTGGGGACGGGGACACCTTCATTTGACAAAACAATGCTGCCTGGGTACCTCCTACCTAATAAGTCTTCAGAGAATCTTCTCGCGGCTGCTTCCCGGTACTTATCCTCAAGGGTGCTGGCGGCCCCCAGCCTCCCTCTCCACCTTCCACTGCAGGGGTGTCTGTCCTTGGCTGCACCCCTCGGGGAGGTTCTCAAAGCTCCCCACCCCAGGATCCCATTGGAGCTGGTCTGGCCACCAGGATTTTTAAATGCTCTGCTGTCTGATTTGCTCACCTCCACCCTCATGACGCTCCTCGCTGCGGCTGCTCAGGCCACACTACAGGTGACACTTGCTCTCCATCGGTGGATCTTTCTGACTCCGACTGAGTCCACGAGAAGCTAGTGCTGGGGAAAGAGCTACTGTCCGTGTCCCTGTCCCATCTTAGCCCCACTGGGCAGGTCACAGAGGGGAGGAGCCTCGGACCTCCACCAAAACCTGCCTGTTGTTTGCCTGCTTCCTGTTATGGGATCACTTGGCCACCCAGCACCTGCTCTCCCACCTTTCTCTGGGTTCTGCTTTTCTCCGTCTTCTTTATCTCTTTCTTACTTCAAATGTCCGCCTGGCTGTGGCTTTCCGCGTGCAGGTCTCTAGGGAGCGCCTTTTCTATCCCGCCACCTGCTCACCTGTCTGTCCACTTGCGGCAGTGGCTGCCGTGGGCCCTGCCTTCCAGCCCCTCCCACTTTCTACCCCTGCCTGGGGGGCCCACTCCGCACCTGCTCACACAGCACACCTGCAGCTTCTTAGCACGCCTGTCCGCCCCAGCCAGCGCTGCCCGTGTGGCAGCGCCAGGAGACCCCCTCCCTAGAGCAGCATTGTGAGCAGAGGGGCTGCTGATGACCCCACTGCATACGTCTTCCTTTCTAGGGCCCATGCTGCGTGCTCAGAAGGTTTCCGGGGCCAGTGCAAAACTTGCTTGTCTTGTCTGCTCCGCCTCCTGGGCCAGATGCTTCCTGTTTAGCGGTTTCATTTTTTAAAAAATCTAGTTCCTTTTGGGGTGCAGGACTGGGCCCCAACAACACTGAGGAAGAGGCACACATCACTTCTGAGGCTTCTCTGTGCTTCTCGCACATACCCTTCCTGCCTCCAGGCACCCAGAGCTTCTCACTGCACCCATGCTGGGCCTACAGCTCCTTCTCAAAACCTGCTGGGAACTGGGGATGGTGAGGGCTTAACAGCCTCTTAGGAATGACTGTGATTGGAGACAGGTTGGGGCCTAGGACACAGACACTGCAGTTGTTTTTGACCCTGGCTGCACAGTGGAATTGCACCAGGAGCTTTAAAAAGTACCTGTTCCCAGGTCACTGCTGACTTACGTGGTCTGGGGTGGGGCCTGAGCCTCAGAGTCAGGTGATTCTCATCCAGTCAGGCTAAGCGCCACTATGCAAGGATCTCAAAGTCTGGACCTTGACCCACAGCATCTGCATGATCTGAAAGCTGCTAGAAGTTCAGATTTTTGCTACCACCCAAATACACTAAATCAAAATTTTCGGGTTGAGGACCAGGGATCCGTGTTTTAATAATTACTGTAGATAATTCTATGCACAAGAGCTTGCAAACCAGGACATTATAACCTGCAGAGCAAAGGGAAGGTGTGGCTGGAGGCAGCATACTATTTCTGAGTCTACACCAGTGGTTTTCAAAGTGTGGTCCCTGGACCAACAACAACATCACATGGGAGCTTGTTACAAATGCGCATTCTCAGGCCCCGCCTCAGACCTCCCGTATCAGACACTCTGGGGATTGGGCCCAGCTCTCTGTTTAACAGGTGTGCTATTGGTGAATCTTATGTGTTTGAGAGCTACTGGTCTACCAACTACCTGCCTCACCCAAGACCATTTCATAATTTGGGTCTAAACAGTGGAGGCTCTATAAGAAAAGGATGGTAGAAAAAACATTTGTAGAGGCTTAGAGTTATCACGCATCAAATGATGGCATGCTTCTGGTCAGATGGTGTGTACTGTTCTGCAGAGTTCCCTCGCTGAGGACTACACAGGGAATATATGTTGGAAAGAAGTTTTGGAGGCAAGATTCAGGCAGCTGGCCCGCCTGAGAGTCTATGCGTCTCTTATGTGTATGTGGTTCTATGCATGAAACAGATCACAAGATCCAGCCAGAATGAACGAATGGGCTCTGTAGAGGGAGACAGAGTGGGGAGAGGGGGTGTTTCCGATACTCAATCAGTTATTTCCCAGAGCCGTTATGTGCCTATCAGTGGCTAGCTCTCTGAAGGAAAGACACAAAACCCAGAAACAATTGTATGTGTGTATATGTAGATGTACTTATATATGTGGGTATATTAGTATGTGGGATATATGTCTGAATGCATAAATGCATGCGTATCCATAGGTGGGTGTGTCTTGGTGTGCATGCACATGTGTACGTACTCCTGTGGTAGCATGTATTATGTATTTATGTGTGAACACGTGTGTATTATGTGTCCATGTGTATAAGAGAGAGAAAGAGAGAGAATGTGTGTATGTATGATATGTGTGGGTGTTTATATTACAACCACTATCCTTATAAGACTTACAGTCTATTTGGAGAAAAGACCCACATAATTGAAACAGAGAACAACTATGCAGTGTCCTCTATGGTAGTGACCTTGAGATATTAAGGAAACAGGGGGCCTCTGGGGAGTTCATTTTGAGAAAGTTTTCCTAAACAAGTAATGTAGGAGAGGAAGGAAGGAGGACAGTCCAAATGGTGAAATGAGGGGACAGCCTTAGGGTACCCTTGGGTCACACCTGAGCTATATACAATGTCTAGCCAATCCTTTCCTTAGGATCTTAAAGCTAAGAAAAGGTTCTGATCTGGTCCCTCTGGCCTGAACACCACATTTTAAAGAAAACCCACGAGAAGATGTCCAAACTTTCCTGGGCATTTCTGGTCACTGGGACTGACTGGGAAGGGAGGGTAAGAGTGTGAGCTCTTCCACCTCCCATCCCACACTGATGGGTTCTGGCATGGACTAGTTACATACAGGAGTTCTGATTTAGCCTCTACATCAACACTGCTCTTAGACGGGTACCATTCTCATTGTGTAGATGATATGCTGCAGGCTCTAAGATTAACCCCAGCCAGTAAGGAACAGAGAAAGGCTGGATTCAAAACCAGGTCCATCTAACTTCAGAGCCAGGACCTTTCCATACCTAACCTCCTGGTTGACTCACCAATTAAATCTGATGACTGTGGGAGGTTTTATGAGTTTATCATCTTGGGGGTCCCTACTCTTTGCAAGCCCAGCTGATAGCCTTAATGCCACTGCTTTCATTCTCAGGAGTGTCTTTTTTGTCCCACCTTTTTTCAGTCTCTGCAACAAAATTTCCCTTTCTTTCCACAATTTATCTGAGATTCTAAAACATTCCAAAAAGTAGAAATGCATCACACGTGTATTTCTGTTGTTATGCTCGGGATTATAATGTTCCTCTAATTTGTAGGCAAAGCACAGAATTATTTTAATATATAAAAATTATATTCACTATATTAAAAATACATATTTTAAATTATAAAGTGTGGGCCAGAACGCTTCCAAGTGTTGGTGCAGGCAGAGTGGAGCACCTTGGGGCCCTGCTCCAATTCTGGGGTCCCTGAGACACTGCCAGCCAGAGGTTCTGACAGGCTGAGCAGAGCACATGCTGAGCCCCACGCAATTAAGATTTTTTTCTAGCAGAGCTGAGTTACCCATGTGGCTTAGTTCCTGCACGTTACCTTCACTGGCCCAGGAAAGGTACCTATCTTCATTCTTCTTGAGTGTACGAAATTGTACATGTCTTTTCAGTTTTATACTTCACTATCTTTTCTCCTTTTTTGTGTGTGAGTGCTTACAAACTGTGTATTGCTGTTTGGTGTGCATGCATTTTTATTTATGTAAATGATATTGATAATAAATGTCATATTCTTTTTTTGTTTATTTTATTTTAGAGAGAGAGTGTGTGTGAGTGAGTGGGGGAGAGAGGGAGAGAGGCAGAGGCAGAGAGAGAGAATCTCTCCCTGGCCTGGTGGTGGTGTGCAGGTAAGCTGGCTGTCTGGGAAAAAAAAGCCAGGATTTGTAGTTTGCTGATGAGAAATACTCCCTTCACAGCTGACTTCAAGCCATCGGTGTGATGCGTGTGATGCACTCATTTCCACAACTAGCTGGTTGTGTTGGAACTGGTGGGGGCTGCCTCCCTCTCTCTGTTGATGCTTAATTGAGGTGCTGAAACAGACTTTTGGAATCCTGTGGCTATCATATATTTTCATACATTGAATTCTTTTATCCCATTTATTTCCACCTTGCTTGGTATCCTGGGCCAACTCAATGTGCTTTATAGATGAGGATACTGAAATTCTTAGAACAGCTGAGGGGATTTGTTAGGGGTCACTAAGCAGAATGGTATGCACATGGAGGGTTTCTTGTTCTAATAAACCCATATTACAACACTTTGGTGGAAAATGCATGAAAAGTGCTATTTTAATGGTTTGATGTCATCACGTAGGGGTTTTGGGGTAGCTGAGTGAGCTGTGAGCAGAAACAGCCATCTGGGGAAATTCCTGGATGCCTGATCTTCAGAGAGTCACAACTCCATGGTCATTAAAATATAGCTTGAGACCTTCTTGGCCTCAAGGTGTGATCACAAACTTAGAGGTAGCCTCTGGAGTGTGACTCACTCCCCTTTCCCATGAGGGGCATTTGTTTCCAGTGGGAAGTGTTCCATTTTCCTGGAGAAGTCATAATGGCTCGATATGATCTGGTAGAGAAATAGGCAGACCAGTGCTCCTGGGTTGGCAGAAAATGGCTGGGATCTCATGGCAGATGGAGAAAAGAAAAGATAAATATAGACACCAGATTTTTCCAAATAATGGATTTTGGTCAAATGTGAGTCTTTCCTTAAAGCTGCATTTATAGAGGATCTGTCCCCTCCCCCTCACTTTCTTCCCCCATATTATGTCCTCACTCTTTCATGCTACATTAGACATGTGTAAGATGGGGGGAGAGTGTCCCACCAAGGTGCTCTGGTGGTTTATCCCTATCCTGCAGGGAAGGAGTGGGAGGGTTGAGCTATATGCCTTCCCACAAAGGGCTCCTGAGGGTTAGGAGCTCACTGCTGTAATCAGATTAACTAAATAACAAGAGTTACTGGACATTCAAGAGGGGCTGAGTTTGTAATTTGGGGGTGCAAGACTAAAACATTCACTAGAAAGTGAAAAGTGTTTTAACAGCCTGTATTTCTACTCAAACAGAAAAAGAAGACCATAGTCATTTCTGTATAATTCCCTTTATAAGCAAATCACACCTCTCCTGGCGATTGGTAGGTAACCCATCCTCATCCCTTGTCAGACACATGCTTGACCATGGAAATCCCTCAAATGGGCAATGTGTGAACAGTGTAGGTGAGCCCCATTTTAAGAAAATCCTGATACCATCTTGTGAACTTAACTGTTTAATGAGAGCATGTTAATGAATACTACAAAGGAAAACACATTTGTTTAAAACATGATTTGAGTGTTGAAAAAGATCAGCTTTCATCTTATGACATTTCCAGAAATATTTCTGTTATGTAAAGGAAGGCACATTGGCATTTCCAGTGAATTTAAGTTCCTAACCCCAAATCTGGAGAACATCTCGTGACTCAAGAACAAATCTCAGACATTAAAAATTTCCTGCCTCTTCTCCAGGTAAGCCCTCCATCTATTATTTACTCAAAGTGATCTTGATGGTCATGCTGATTTCATCAGTTTATGGGAGAGAGAGAAGAATCAACGCTTCTGAGGTGGGAGGGACTGAATCCCTCCCTGTCATGAAACAAGTAAGAAGTTGAGGCTGAGAGCAGGGATGCACTCACTCCAGATGGCAAGGGCTCACTAGAGGCAGAGCTGGGTCCAAACCAACCCATCACTTTCCAGGCGGGTGGATGTTTCCTGGCACTGTGCATGGCTCCATAAAATGACTGAGTTGGAGGCCCATGCCACCAATCTCTGTCCCTTCTTGATGAATTCTCTTTAGGGATGTGGCCTATTTTGCAGAAGAGGGCAAATTCCCCTCAAAGGGCGCTCTATGGTGTGAGCAATGAGTATGAAGTCTAACCTAACTGTATCTTTGATAAATGTTGTACATCTTAGAACAGAAAGGTTCCTAAGTTGTGACTAGACACGTATTTCCCTATGTAGGGAAATAACTAGGGTGTAGGCTTGCTTGGGGGGAGAATCACAGAACAGACAGGAAGGGAGCTTGCATGGCCTTCAGCTTGGGGGCCTGGACAAATTGCTGAAGGCTGAGCGTACAGTGGTCTGTTTTGGAAAAGCCAGCCTAGGAGACATCATACGCCTGGTACTTTGTGATGGTTGACGCTCTTCTGTTTTTCTCCTGGGATAAGTAGTAGATGCGGTTGGCCTCTGGGTAGGCGACTTTGCTGAGTGGGAGCTTGTAGATGGCAGGGTTGTTGGTCGTCAGGAGCAGGAAGATGAGGGTGGCGAGGCAGAAGGGCCAGGTGCACGTTGGTAGTCCAAACTGGGGGGGGGCAGAACGCGGACACACAAGAGAAGCCTTGGTTATATCAGATGCCTGGGACTGTTTCATCAGCTCTTAATACTCCCCTACAGGCCTGGGTAGATGCTTTGAGGGCATTGAGAGGAATAATACTTCTTGACCAAGATAAATAAAATCATGTCAATGCTGTCTGCCTGAATTGTAACAGGTAGGTGCATATTCTCTAAAAAGTAGCCATTGGAACCCTATTATAATATGGTTTTCTGTAGACGTCATGTTTTGTCTTGGGCTGTCTGGCCAGGTTATACCTTCCACTCTAGGGACTGACCATTGTCTCCCTCTCCCATAGCCCTCGTTGAAGGAGCGGCTTTGGCAGCCATTCTGTAGCTCACAATCTTTGTCTCTTTGGTCAGAGCTGCTTGGACTCCAGCAATGCAACTTCCAGAGGCAGATGGCCTGGGAATTGGATCCCTCTTTCAAGAATTTGAACTAAGAGAAACTGGGCTCTTGGTCTGAAAGGACTGGAGAGCCAACCAGTGCTGGGTGCCCGCTGGGGGGTTTGTACAGAAGAAGAAACTCACCACGGAGAGACACAGGGGGATAGAACAGACTTCTGGAGAGAGGCAGAGATGGAATGTCCTGGTCCTAGGGGTGGAGGTGGAGGTGGAGGTGGAGGTGGAAGGTAGCTGCTTCTATTCTCAAGGGCTCCACCATTCTCGGCTTCCCTTCTCAAGGTGTTGATTATTTTTTATTCCTTAAGATTCCCTGAGGCTTTTAAAAAATGTTTATTTATTTTTGAGAGAGAAAGAGAAAGAGCAGTGAGGGCAGAGAGAGAATGGTGAGGAGCAGAGAGAGAGTGGCAAGGGGCAGAGAGGACGGGGAGACAGAGGATCCAAGGTGGACTCTGCGCTGACAGCAGAGAGCCCAATGTGGGGCTCAAACTGAGGGACCAAACTATGAGATCATGATCTGAGCTGAAGTTGGACATTTACCTGACTGAGCCACCCAAGCAGCCCATGCCCTACAGCTTTTTTTTTTTTTAATTTTTTTTTTTAATGTTTTTTTTTTAATTTATTTCTAGGAGAGAGAGAGAGAGAGACAGCGTGAGCAGGGGAGGGTCAGAGAGAGAGGGAGTCACAGACTGAAATAGGCTCCAGGCTCTGAGCTGGCAGTCAGCACAGAGCCCGATGCGGGGCTCGAACCCACGAACCGCGAGATCATGACCTAAGCGAAAGTCGGACGCTTAACCGACTAAGCCACCCAGGCGCCCCCAGCTTTTTAATATACTTCCCACCCTTCCTTGACATCACTTGAATGGAGAGCTAGCTGACAAGGAGCCTGTAGATTTAACTATAAGGCAGACCAAATCATGTTCCCTCACGTCCAACCTCATTTCATTATAAGCAGTAAAGACCTCAGAAAATACCATGGGATAACAATTCCAGTAATGTCCTGCTCAAAGATGGCACTGCTGGATGGGACTTGGGGAAGAACAATGGCAGCCAGAATCGTGGCCGTAAAAATACCTACAGTCATGAATTCTACCCAATGAGTCTCTCCAAAGCCCTGCTCACACTACACAGTGTGTTTTGGGAAGTACTTTCTGGAGCCCCACAGTGGGAAAGGAGGTAGATCTGGAGTCCCATGGGTCCAGAACCACATCTCAGTTCTGACCACCTTAAAGTCATTTCATCCATCTGAGACCTATCTCCTCAATAGTAAAGTAGGGATGACAGTGTCTACTCAGACAGTTAATGCCTAGTGCATACTAAGGACTCAGTAAACAGCCCTCAGCACATGGTCATGATTGCCAAGCAGAGGGGGGCATGTGGAAGACGGGGCCACGTGGATGAGTGCCAGCGAGAAAGCAGAAGAGTGCAGCTCCCAAGTGCTCTGTCTGTGGAGGGTATGAAGGGGCTCGTAAATGTCACTTGACATTTTTATATTGTTCCTCAAGAAGATGAGACATTCCTTCTGAGCGAGTAAATAGCCTGCATGTTTTTATATCCCTGAGAGTGATCAGTACTACTAAACATAGTAGGTGCATAGAAAGTAAACTTGAGTTAAAAAAAGAGAGTCTAAATAGAATGGTGTCACCTTTAACTTCTCTACCCACAGAGGAAAGGGGCCAGTCATCTTATAAATGCCTGTGATCAGAAACAAAAGCCTCCTATTTGCATCGGGTCCAGTATCTTGCCCAGGGAAGGCACATGACACATAGTCACTGGCTGGACAGTCAGGTGGAAGGATGGGTACAAGAATGGCAGGAAATCCTGGAGCACACAGGAGCCGCAGAGACTGACTCCATGCTCTGGTTACCTGCCCGTGCTACTGATGGCTGACCATTCAGCCCCAGCTCTTAGATTCCTCATGGTGGGGGCTTGCTATCTTAGTGTTCTGTTCATTCAGCATTTCTTGAGCACCTATTATATGCTGGGTACTGCGATAGGTACTAGGGATAAAGACCAGAATACGGCCAGGCCCCTGTTCTGAAGGAGCACATGGGTTGAAGTTGGAAGGGGAAGAATATATACAAATCTTGTCACCAAACTGTACATCAAATGTTGTAGCAGAGGCATGTACAAGATTCACCGGAGCCCAGGGGAGGATTTAGTCCACTGGGGGACATAGAATGGTGTCAGGAAAAGCTGGTTCTATTGCTTAGAAAATTCCTTCCTATACTAAGTTCCCCCTGCCCAATTTCATTAAGGGTGAGGAAGGGATTTGTGCAGGTGTGAGTAGAACGCCCACCTTCATCCCTACCTTCAGGACGACTGGGACTTTTCTTGGTTGCTTTTATAAAATGTGCCCTTGAGCCCTTATCCAGTGGGGGAGGCATCAACAGTGGGCTGAGCCCTGAGGACTCTGCGCTGGGCCATGGGCCCTACCCAGTGTACGTGGGGGCTGGGCTGGCCGTGCAGCTCCTCCTGTCTCAGACATCACCTCACACGAGGGCTCAGACGAGGAAGGGGTTCTTCGACTGGTGCATGTGCGCATAGCTGCCAGCTCTGGCTTCTCTCAGGTATTGCTGGGGCTTGGCTCCCTGTCTTCTCTGGAGACTTCTCTCATGACCCCCTCAACTCCTAGTTGCGAAGGCCCAAACAGAGATATATAGTGGCCCATACGCTAGTTGGGCAGTTGATCTATAAACATACAAAATAATGAAATAATAAAAAGATTTAAATCTAGTTCTAGAGGGTGATGATGATGCAGCAGAAAGAATTTGAGTTACAAGATAATGCTCTTCAAAGAGTCCTTCTGTAAAGAGTCCCACTAGCCCCCCGACGATGGCGTCTGATTGACCAATGTTGACCTTTAACCTTGAGAGACCCAGCTCCTTCTGTCTAGCAGGTGCTGAGGCAAGCAGTGTGACTCGAGATGAGACGGATGAACTGGGGAAGGGCTTCCGGAGGACAGGTTTGCACTGGCTTTGGGGGGCTGACGGAACTGGGGGGAGGGTGTTGAGGTACGTTCTTAGCCCACGCTGACTCACCACAGACAGCACGTTGGCCAGCGCAGCACCCAGGTAGGCTGTGAACAGTGCTGGGGAAAGAACCAAGAAACAATCCGGTAACTGCTGGTGCCACAGGCTTAGTCTACACATTATCTGCCCAGACATTTTATGCCACACATGCCATCTCTCAGATTAAAATAAAACTTGAATTATGTTTCTATTGCCTGACAGCCTTGAAATGTGTTAAGTTCCAGGCAAATGCCGGCACAGCTAAGACAGCAGATGAACTTTGTTAAAAAAGGGCCAGAACGGAGCGGTTATGGTTCTCTTGGGTCCCACCACGTTGCATTCTAGCAAAGGAACATTTAACAGCATAAACCATACATGAAAATTTTACTATATAGCCAAGGCAAGTGGATCCCAGAACTCCCTACTGGAATATTTCACCGTGAGTTACTAACATAATACGGGTTTCCAGGGAGGAGCAGCATTCTATAATGGCTCGTCTTCCCGGCTCTGCCTGCAGAGGGCATGGCCAGGCTGGCCACTGGGAAGAGCCATGTGCTGGTAAGAGGTGATGCTCTGTGAAAAGGAGCAACTGTAATTGGGCTTTGTTTCTGACCCTCAGTTTCTCAACCGAAAGCATCCCAATTGTCCCTAAAATATTAACAACAGCAAATCTTTATTAGAGAGTCACTGAGCACCCGGCTGGTAGTCATCTGACTACATCCTTCAGCATTGCTATAGCGTAAGCATTATTTGGAGGTCCTAATGATCAGTATTTGGGTGCTTAAAGTTAATTGCTACATATCATGTAAATCACCCAATTCTATACATAAAGATTAATTTGAGTAAGGGTTGCTCTGTTGGTTAGCTCCCATCACCAGCCAGGAGAGTAGCAATCACAGAGACAGCCCATGACCAAAAACCAAACAGCCACCATCTAAAAATTGTCTTCGTGTGTCTGAACACTTTGTGCCCCATGAAAATAGTTTTTACTGTGTGAATCGTTAAACAACCATTCAAAACAGTGTTGGATAAAAAAATGCTTTTGTGGAGCAAACAATCCTCTGTTTATCTCTGGAGGATGCACAGAATTTTCAGTGTGGATTACCCCGCAGGGACAGTCAGAGGTGGCGCTGAAGGTGCAAAGGGAGCTGGTGACGGGCCCTACCGCAGGCGATGGCCAGGAGGTGGGTCTGCCAGGTGATGACATAGAACATGCCTCCTATGGCGATGCAGGCCAGTGTGCTGTTGAAGCCACACAGGCCAAAGTAGATGGAGTCCAAGGGCGTCGCAATGGTGAGGGCTGCAAGAGAAGGCAGGCATCAGTGTTGAGTTTGGGGGGTGGGTCTCATGCAGCTCATCTGCCCTCCCTGAAAGCCACCACAGTTCTCAAAGCCCAGATCATTCCTCTGAGGTATTTATAAAAAAGAACTTCTGATTTTATTCAGTGAAAAAATAACTAAAGGAAACAAATGGCCATAGAGCCACATGAGTATTAGTGGTGATGCTGTTATAGATAGAAGAGAACTAAAAGAAAAATTTTTTTAAATGTCTTATTTATTTCTGAGAGTGAGACAACATGAGCAGGGGAGGGTCAGAGAGAGAGGGAGGTACAGAATCTGAAGTAGGCTCCAGGCTCTGAGCTGTCAGCACAGAGCCCGACACAGGGCTCGAACCCACGAACTGTGAGATCATGACCTGAACTGAAGTCAGAAGCTTAACTGACTGAGACACCCAGGTGCCCCAGAAGAGAGTCTTTTGAATATAGACTCTGCAGCCTTTTAAAGCAGTCCAGAGAAGTTCCTTCCCCTGCCAAAAAAGAGGACTTTTCCTTCTTTGTTGATACTTGTTTAAGAGAGAGAGAGAAAGTGCATGAGTGGGCAGAGGGAGAGAAAGAGAGAGAGATAGAGAGAGGGAGAGAGAATCTTTAGCAGGCTCCATGCTCAGCACGGAGTGGAACGTGGGACTCTATCCCATGACCTTGGGATCATGACCTGAGCCAAAATCAAGAATTGGATGCTTAACTGATTGAGCCACCCAGGTGCCTCTTCATTGATATCTTAATGTTCTCTAGTGGAGGATCATTCCTTAAGATAAGACTTAAAATTTAAACATCACTGGAATTAACCTCTCCAAACTTTAAATTTATACTAAAGTGTAAACGACTAACACCAAATCCTTTCAGGAGGGCAGCTTTTGCTCAGAAAAGCAGGAGAGCACTGGCACCCAAAGTAGGGAAATGGTACAACGGAAGGAGGGAAAGTTTGTAGGAATAAGTGCATGGGGGGTGGGTATCGAAGACACATGTCACCATTTTCTTTGGAGCTGACTCCAGACACTAACATCTTTATGGCCATTAATATGGCAGAAGCAGTGACACTAACCTGCTAACATCCCCATGGTGGAGCCAATCGCAGCATGCAAACAAATGAGAGGTGACGATATGAACAGAGCTATGAGGAAGATGCCTCCAGTCCAGGGGTTGTCACAGCCATACACCTGGCCGACTCCAACAGGGATGGCTCTCAAAAGCTGCAGGTGCAAAGGATCACATGCAGTTACGGAGGCAGAAGAGACAACTTGAACCTTGGCTGGAAAAGATTTGTGCCAAACCCTATACATCCACATTTTGCAACAGGTTTCGGAGATATCTTGATTCAAACAGGTTAACTGTAAAAGGAACACAAGCCTTACTGTTTTAATCTTGACTTGTTAGAACAGTAGGAGTTTAGGGTGTTAAGTTTCCTTTCTTTAGAAACATGAGTGTAAGGCACTAAATCCCCAGGGAAGAGACACTAAAAACTTTTCAAATGAAGGTTTTATTCATTAGAAAAGTAAGAGATGTCTGATCAAAGTTGGGGTTTAAAAACTTTCTTGTAACATTAAAAAAAACCCTAAAATTATGACTAGAGGGCTAATCTTATGTGAAAGAGTGGTCCTTTGTGTTTCCAAGAATAAGGTGTCTGGGAAGGTGTGGTCACATTAGTTTGGTCTGGGTGAGCAACTGGGCTGGTGTCCACAGAGGAATCCTTGAGAAGGTGGTATCATGGATGTGAGCTTTTCATTGATAAACCAAGTAAATGGTGATGGAGAGATGAGTCCCTGTTTGCATCAGGCCTCCATGTACCCCAGGGGATTGGGGCCTGTCTGCAAAGGTAAAGGGTTTGATGAGGCCTGGGTCTACTGCCTTGTGGGCACAGGACGTGTGTTCTGGAGTTCCAGAAGGATCTTGGGTGTGCAGCCTTTCCCACCAACTGGCATTGGGTCCTATGGTTTGGAAGGTTGGCCAAAGGCCCTTGAGCTAGGAAAGTGCATAAGGAGGGGGCTCTGGACCAGGCAGGTACACTGGGGTATGTCTCACCCCGTAGGGAGTGAGCTGAGGAGAAGCTGAGTCCTGGGGCGAGGGTGTGCATATATGAGGAGGGGGCAGCTCTTCTCTCAGCTCATGCCCTTGGGGTGGGGGGTGCAGAGATAGGAGGACGCTGAAGGGGCCTGTGGGTTGGGCTAGTGGGCTAACCCTCCAGATTCTGTCTTCTGTTACCTCAGGAACAGAGAGCAGGGTGGGGGCTCTGGCATTACCATGTGGGTCAGGGTGGGCAGGTGGGAGAGTTTCATACAGAGGCAGTTGTGCTGGGCAGTTTAGTCCCAAGCTGGTGACACCCTCTAGGGGGCCCTCCAGTGGCCAAGGAGCTGAGGAACTCATGGGGCTTAAACATTGTTGGGAGTTTGAGACCCTCTCTCGGACATTTACTTGTTTCCCCAACACTCAAGGTTCTCATGAATGGTCAAAGACAACACATATCAGTCCTTATTATAATTCATTTAATTGACTAGAAAGTTACTTCCTTTATAAAATTTAAAAAAATGTTTATGTATTTTTGAGAGAAAGGGAGACAGAGTGTGAGCAGGGGAGGAGCAGATAGAGAGGGAGACACAGAATCTGAAGCAGACTCCAGGTTCTGAGCTGTCTGTCAGCACAGAGCCTGATGTGGGGCTCAAACTCACAAACTTTGAGATCATGACCTGAGCGAAGGTGGACGCATAATTGACTGAGCCACCCAGGCCCCCCTAGAGAGTTACTTCTTAAAATGGCAACCACCAAAAATTGAATTTTTCTTTCTTGGAACTTGGGGGTTCTAAAATATTTGAACAGGATTTCCTAGTTTTTAATTTCTGCAAGATTTCTAGGTATCTTTCTATTGAAAATGTGGCATGGAGAATACAAAATGTCTTAAAGTTGCCTTTCCTAACATCAGCTCCCCATAGTCAATGGGTTAGAGTCATTGTGCCTTCAAGAGATATTGCTGGGGTAACTCTCAACAATAGCTAAAACATGGAAAGAGCCTAAGTGTCCATCAACGGACGAATGGATCAAGAAGATGTGGTTTATCTATACCATGGAATACTACATGGCAATGAGAAAGAATGAAATCTGGCCATTTGTAGCAGCATGGATGGACCTTGAGGGTGTTATGCTGAGCGAAATAAGTCAGGCAGAGAAGGACAAATATCATATGTTTGCATGTATAGGAGGATTAGGAGGAACTTAACGGAGGGACAAAGGGGAGAAGAAGGGGGAAATGGTGGGGGAAAGGGAGAGAGGCAAACCCTGAGAGACTCTTGAATGCTGACAAAAACTGAGGACTGATGGATGTGGGGGGGAGGGGGGATGGGCATGGAGGAGGGCACTTGTGGGGATGAGCACTGGGTATTATGTGGAAACTAATTTGACAATAAACTATTTGTAAAAAAAAAAAAAAAGAGATATTGCTGGGGTAAATACCATGAAAGGGAAGCCTACGGAGTGAATTGCCAAACTTTTCTCACCTCTGGCTCATGAGGGTCCTCTCTCTCACACACACACAGAAATCTACAAGGATAGGGGCGCCTGGGTAGCTCAGTTGGTTAAGCATCCGATTTAGGCTCAGGTCATTATCTCACAGTTCGTGGGTTCGAGCCCTGCATAGGGCTCTGTGCCGACAACTCAGAGCCTGGAGCCTGCTTCAGATTCTGTGTCTCACTCTCTCTCTGCCCCTCCCCTGCTTGCACTTTCTCTCTCTCTCCCTCTCTCTCAAAAATAAACATTACAAATCAACAAACATGAAGCTAACACTAACACGAATATTTCTCTTACTAAATAATGTGTCTTAGTGTAAATTTTCAGTCTTTCTACCATGCTGTGCTGTTGTATACTATGAAATGCTAAATGAAACTTGGCATCATTATTTCTGAAAGGTCCTTCTACAAGCCCAATTGGCTTTGTGGTTAGATGATGAATTGCCAATAACAATTCATTGTAGTTTACTGTAGTAAACTGTAGTTTACTGTAATGCAAAGCAGGAGAATCTCAGAGAAAATGTCTTATTAATTACCTTGGCAGACTTCCAGAGGCCAGCATTATATACAAAATACTTGTAAAAAACATTAAAATTTCTGATATATAGATGTTTCTTAATGGAGGAACACCTGCACTTTCTGGTGCGGCCATGCCTCGGAAAGCCAACGGAATCAACTCTGGAGGTTGGATCAGAGACTTCAGCTGCCAGGTGCTTGTGTGACATGTTTGCCTTTAATGGTTCAGTGAGATTGATGGAAGGAAGTAGTGTAAGCTGGGTGAAAATTGGAAGAAAGCATCAAAAATACTTTTTCAAAAAGGAAAAGGGAAAGAACCCAGGTCTAGCAGAAAGGAGGCCAGAGTGCTAATCTTGACTTTGCTCTTCACTAATTAGCTGTGTAGACCTCAGGCCTCAGCTTTTTCTGCTGTGCTATGACAGTGTGGGACCAGAAATAGTCCTAGAAAGAGAAAGGAAAAGGGCAGGGGCTGATGAAATATTGCATGTTGAGTGTTTCCTGTTGTATGATTGTTTTTTTTTTTTTAAATATTTTTATTTATTTCTAGGGGAGAGAGAGACAGTGTGAGCAGGGGAGGGTCAGAGAGAGAGGGAGATACAGACTCTGAAACAGGCTCCAGGCTCTGAGCTGGCAGTCAGCACAGAGCCCGACGCGGGGCTCGAACCCACGAACCGTGAGGCCGTGACCTAAGCGAAAGTCGGACGCTTAACCGACTAAGCCACCCAGGCGCCCCTGTATGATTGTTAATAGTCATTACTCGTGGAAGCTTCTGATGTGCAGAATCAGCAGATGCCACTTCAACATCACGCTTGCACAGACAGACGCTGCCTTCTCGCTTTCTGTGATACCTACCAAGGGCACTTGGACCTCTGACCAGGTGATGTTGGGCACAGAGGACGGAGGCTGCAGGAGCACTGTGGGGAAGAAGAGGTTGTAGTGGCCGGTGGCTGCCAGGTACAGGGTCACAGCGATGTTGAAGGGCAGCGTGAAGACGGGGAGGTCCCACTTGCTGAAGATGCTGCCCAGGGCACTGGAGAGGACGGGACTGCGACAGAAACACAAGAAACTCTGTTCAAGAAGCTCTGGCCCTGACGCTAGACTGAGCAGGAGTAGGGGGTCCCTGGACTTTCCTGAGGAAGAGCAGCCAGCTGGGTATGTTGTCCGAGCCTGACTGGCCCTGAGCAGGTCTCCCCCGGGCCCCCTCCCTGGGCCTGGCACAGGGACAGGGCAGATGCCCAGCTCCATTTCAGAAAGAGGGAAGACCTAAGGCAAGGAGTCACAGGATTTCCTTGATGAGTCATATAGCTCCATGCTCAGGCATGAGGAGAGAGGACAAGTTGGGGAGTACCAGGGAAGGGAATCTCATTCATTCATTCATTCATTCATTCATTCATTCAACAAATGTTTGTTGAGCAGCTAAGAGTACCAAGCCTCCAGCCAGAGTGTCCTATGATTTCTGGAGGTGAAGGGGAACTGAACCTAATCCTCTGAGGGCTCTGTTTGGTGGCTGGTCCTTCAGCTCACACTAGGAGATAGTCTCAGTCTGGTCAGCGGTTTCAAGGATGGAGAAAAGCTGGATGGGGGGAGGCAGGAGGAATGAGAAGGTTTCCAGAAACTGATAGGAAGCTGTGGGGTGGCTCTTCACCTTTCTCTGGCCTCTGACTGAGTAGGACCCTTTTAGGTCTTAAAAAATAGTAAAGAAGGGCTCCTGGGTGGCTGAGTGGGTTAAGCATCTGACTCTTGGTTTTTGGCTCAGGTCATGATCTCACAGTTTGTGAGTTCCAGCCCCACATCAGCCTCTGTGCTGACATCATGGGGCCTGCTTGGCATTCTCTTTACCTCCCTTTCTCTCTGACCCTCCCCAGTTCATGCTCTCTTTCTCAAAAATAAGTTAAAAGAAAAAAAAAGAGTAAAGAATGGTCAGTAATGTGAGTGTCCACAGATCATCTAGCACAACTGTGCAAGCTAAATCAATGCCACCTTAAAACTGAGTTTCAACAGACAGTTGGGGAGCTGAGATGAAAAGATTGGCAGCCCTTAACCCCACCCACAGCCTCAGGAGCAAACTTACCAAGACATGGACATAATGATGACGGGGAGCAGAAGCCACCAATAGTAGTTGCCCTTGTCTGAGAACACGGCCATCAGCAGCCCCACCAGCACCCCGTTGTAGCCGTGAAGTCCTGCTGCAATGGCAGACCTGTGAGAATGGAGGGGGACTGGTTAAGGGGGGACTCCCCAGGGCTCAGGAGGGCCACTGCCTTCTTGGTTTTCCTTCTGACTTAGATTTTCCTCAGCTGGGGCCTGACTGCATACATACCTTCAAGCAAATGGCCCCTCTGGGAACGGGAAGGGAAGACATCAACCCTTTGCATTCCCCTGGACAGTGTTTAGATGTTACCAAATAATCAGAAATGGTTGTTTTTAGTTATTAGTGTCCTTATTCTCAGGAGTTTCTGAGCTTGGAGGCCAGCAGTGAGGAGATGGGAAGGTGGCGAACAGTCCCTACAGGAAGTGACCTCTGGCCTCATGCTCGGACCCTGGGTCTCCTAGAACTTACCTGTCCTGGCTCAGGATGAGGGCTGTCAAAGTGGACACAATAGTGCCCAAGCAGCCCGAGATGGCCCACCAGGGGTTCTGGACGAAGAGGCCAAGGATGATGAGGATGCCACTGAGGGGGTTGTTCACAAACATCACTTGTGACGTGCCCCGGAGGACCCAGTCGAGGAACTGGAACACTGGGGATTTGTCTAAAATGGAACCAGGACAGGGCGTCAGTCAATGCTCAGGTGTGCTGGCCCTGGGGGAGGCTCCAGTGGGTGAGTGACAGGTGGGAAACTCCGTGTTCAAAGTAGGTTCACAGGGCACCAGCCCCTACTGTCACCTGCCCCAGAAGAGGGTAAACCAAGAACGCATGAGGGTGTTTGACTGCCCAGAAAACTCTTCAGACCCATTGCCATTGCTCGTTGTGTTTTTCAAGCAGTGGGGATAAGGTACCTTGAGCTATCTGTGCCCCCGTGAGAGTGGCAGGAATTTTCAAGAAGACACATCCAAAAAGAAAATTCTCTTGCTGCATAGAGGGTGTCAAAGCCGTGGCCTGAGCCCTGGGAAGATCCTTAGAAAGAACTTATCCAAATAGTAGTTATAATTCTTTCAGGATTCGTTCATAGGGTGGGCATTTTTTTAGAATGCTGACTCTAGAATCCCATGCCTAAATTCCCAACTGCAACACCTTGATGGGATATTTGCCAGAGCACAACTGGTAATGTTCAGAAATGAGAGCTCACACACTGACATATATTGTATTTATATCCCAAGAGGCTGCATGTCTCTTGGGATATAAAACCCTTGTCCCTTCTAAGACACCAAAATGGCAATCAGTGTAGTCTATTAAGAACTGTGGTATTGTGTCTTCTGGGGATGGTTGTAAGTGACACTTTAGGGATAGGGTCAAGGGCTTTGCTCTCAGGACCTTTACCTTTAAGCCCCTCACCACACTCCTTCATCTCCCCTGTGATGTAACTGAGGGCTCTGCTGACTCTCTTCCCACTGGCGGCCATGTGACTCTGAATCCAGGAAGTCTTGGAAATGTTCGCTTCCACCTTTATCTCCGCGCTCTCCTCCATGGTGTCCAGATCCTGTCCAGAGACAAGAGACAGAAAGACGTTCCCACATCCTGTGCTTCTCACCCTGAGAGGTGACATTTGTGCTTGCTCTAGGGCCAAGCTAATGTTTTCATTTGCATTTAGAGAAATTGCTGTTTAATCATCTCTGTGTTTCTGTAGACTAGAACACCTTTTGTCTGTTTGACATGTTACCTGATTTAATATGCCCAACAACCTTGCAATACAACAGGACACTGTATTTATCTTCATTCTGTGGATGAGGGCTAGGGCATGGATGGAAAGTTCTCACTGGCAAAGGTCAAGGTCAAACAGCAGAATTGATATTTAACCACAGATCTTTAGACTCTTTATTTAAACCATTACTTCTACTATATCATGCTCTTTCCTGGAGAACTTATTCCACCCCCCTCCCCAGCATGTCTAGTCTTTAAAATTTAACTGTCCATAAAATTAAACACATAAAGATTCTGTTTTTGAAAATTGGTATCAGCTTGTTTCCTAAATGCTTGAATGCCAGATTTAGAGGAAGACAGATAACTAATTCAAATAAAAGGGATATGAAATTTTACAAAGTAGAATATGAAAAATAGACAATTTTATCCCAGGTAATTATGTTTCTGGAAATGTGAATTCAGGAGACATCTTTTCCCTAATCTGCTGCAGGTTCCATGTCTGTAGGACCCTGCCCCATACGGGCCACTCTTTACTCACCAGCAACTCAACCGTGGGCTTCCGGTACTGATAGGGAAAAGAGTCTTTGGTTTGCCTCTCCTGGTGTTCGCCTTTTCCAAACACTGGAGTTGAAAGAAAGCACATCATCAGTTAGGACAGCTCTACCCTGGCGCATTAGCAAAAAATTCTTACAGCTGAGATAGAATATTCAGCATTTCCTATTCCACTCGAGGAAGCCCAGAACTGTGGTTTCTTGCAGGTGGAAGTCTCCTTTTCATTTTTATTGGTCACGAACACATTTGGGCTCTCATTTTAGGTAAAAAATGTACATCCTCATGTAAACAGGACACTTTACAGGAATTTAGGGAGTTCAGAGACTCGACTGATCTTTAGTTGAGAGCCTCTGATTTAGCTCAACCTCTATATTTTTTAGATGAGGAACAGCACCTTGGCCATGGTCCCCAAATCTAGGACTTCTTCAACACCACATGAACATGTAGGTGTACAAAGAAAGGAAAACTTGGATGCTATTTCTCCCAAAGCCATGCGCGGTCTGGGTTTGAATTTAACTATGACTCTTTCCAGCTGAGGATGACCTTCGACTGTTCTGGTCTCTCTTTTTTTGATGTATATCTGGAATTTTAGGTATTTTAGCAGCAATTGCTGGTTGGATTAAGACAAATGAAGTCCACGTCATTACTTGAAACAGATTTTGGCATGTTATTGTATTTCTAGAAAACTCTTGTAAAGTGGCTGTAAATGTGGTTTTAATTATTACCAGATAGTTTATTTTTAAAGATGACCAATTTCAGTAGGGTTTTATGCATCTTGAAAGAAGGCTCTTGGAAGTTTTGGTCTTGGTGCTTTGGTTCCCTCTGGTGGTCAAATGTGAGGATGGCAGGCTGGGCTCTGAACACCCTGTATTTTCAGACTGAAGTGACCATTTCCCCTGCATTCATGAGCTTTCAGGGAAGCTAAGTGCTAGAAGGATGCACTAACGGCATCAATGCCCACTTTTGAAGGTGCAGGGGCTGCAAATACCAGTGTGGTTGGGAAGTTACACTATGCAGAGAAACAAATTAATTTTGGAATCTTTGAAAGAGCAGGAGCAAAGAAGAGTCCTCTAGACATTGAGACCAGGGGTGCGGCATCCTGACGGACCTGCTGCTTGTGCGTGAAGCCCCCTCTATCTGCTGTTGAGCAATTCCCATAAAATCCATGTCTCAGGTTCCTTTGCACTCTCCGCTAGTGCCCCCGACCTCCTCGGCCCTCAAGCACGGTGATGTTTGGAGGGGGATTGTTAACCCTTCGAAGAAAGCCACACAATCTTCCTTGACATGCCAGTGGCACCTGTCAAATACAAACCCCTGGGCTAGAGGGTTCTCGCGCTATCTCAATGCCCTCTCCACCTTGTATGAGGTTTTCCTACACCACCCCAGGCCTGTTTCTCTAGTATGGCCACTTGTGGTAAGAAACAATGAGGCTTAGATGAACAGGTGCAAGAATGTCACTAATGCATCTTCTGGGAATCATGTGGTTTGTAAAAAGGACACTAATGGGTCCTCCCCCAACTTTGTCCCTTGTCAGTTGTGTGTCTTTAGGTAAGTTGGTTCCCCTCTCTGAGATTTAAGGGGCAAAATTAGATTGCCCCTTTGCCCTGGCTCTTCACATGGCTGCTTTTTCATCTAATTGGGGGGGGACTCCTTGTACCCCTCTTCCCCTGACTCCTCCCTGGCTTCCCCACCTGCTCATTTTTGGGTGCCCTCTGGACCTTCCCCTCTTGGCCTTTGGGAGCCCCCTCCCCTCCATGGCTCTCCATATGTTTCCTTGGCCTTGATATCTAGAGCGCTGCTGTAGATGAAAATTTTCACTATACTTCTTGTAGCTAGATAAGTGGCTCGTGGCTTGGCAGAAGTTAGAATCTCATGGGGAGCTTTGAAAGATCCTTACGTCCACCCAGGCTAGTCCCCAGATGAATTGGATTAGTGTCTCCAGGGATGGGATGCAGGTGATTCCAATATGCAGTCACGGCCTATAGAGTGGGCTGCCTGCCTCAGTTCCAGCATCCCCCTATTCCTGGGAGGGCACGGACACTGGGGTCATGGCTGCAGTCAGAGGTTGGGTGTGATAAGAATGAACCTGGCCCTTGTCGCTCTCTCTACTACACTATGAAGTAGATACTGCCATTGTCCCCATTCTAGAGATGAGTAAACTGAGGGCCCAAGAGCAAGGGGGAGGCAGTGCCCACCTTTGCTTCTCCTCCGAATGGATGACCACTCGATGTGGAACACGTTCCTGGGCTTGGGGGGCACGGCCTCCGAACCCTCATCGGCCTTTGGACTTGTTGTGGTTGGTTGCTCCCCACCGCCACCTGGCCAGGGGCAAAATAAGATAGGTCAGTGTCTGCCCTGGCCTGTACTCAGTGACAGCCAGGCAGGCAGTGCAGGAAAAACCACGTGCAGAAGCTGGAAAGGCAGGAGCGACATGCTCTGAAGCTGCAGCAGTAATCACATTGGTGTCTGCATGGAGTACCTTGTGCATTCCTCCTGCTAGAACATCCACTTCCTTTCCCCGCAGAAGCCAGATCACAGACACATGTACATGTCAAGAGCCAGTCTGCCTTATTTCTCCGGCAAGGAACTACTCTAAGACCTACTTAATGGGGCCTTGGCCAGCGTAGATGGTGGACCTGCGCTAGCTGCTGTGCCTGCACTTCAGCTGGTGCCTTGTTCTCCATCTGTAGCAGGGGGTGTGTGTGGGAGCTCCTCAATCCTGGCTGCCCTTTCAGACCACCTGGGTGGTTTAAAAGATGCTGGAACCCTATCCCGGGCCCATTAAAAAAATTAAAATTTTTAAATGCCCATTGTATTTAAAAGATTGCTCCAATGCGCAGCCTGGGTTGAGAATCACTGATCTAGGTTCTTACTAAAAATGTGGTCCTGGGATCAGCATCAAACTCATCTGGGAGCATGTTATAAATGCAGAATCTCAGGTTCCACTCAGACAGTCAGAATCAGAGTCTGTCCTTCAACAAGATTCCCCAGGTGTTTCTGTGTACGTTAAAGTTTGACAAGCACCAGTCTATGGAGAGGTAGGGAGTCTGGGGCTATGATCAGCTACATTAAACCCTCTGCTGAACTTTATTATTTCAAATTTCCACACATAGGGGAGCACAGCATGCTCCTCACTTGGGATAGGGTTTCTCAAAGCTGGGTCTGATAATTGACAGCATCAAGTCACCCTGGTGGCTTAAAGGAATGCACGCTCCTGTGCTCACCCCACATTGATCAGCGGAGTATTTGGTGGTCCCCAACGTATGCAGTTTTAACACATTCTTTAAAATTTTTTAATGTTTATGTATTATTTTTTTGGGAGAGAGACAGAGTGCAGGGGGAGGGGCAGAGAGAGAGGGAGACACAGAATCTGAAGCAGTCTCCAGGCTCTGAGCTGTCAGCACAGAGCCTGACATGGGGCTCAAACCCACAAACTGCAAGATCTGGACCTGAGCCAAAGTCAGACGCTTAACCAACTGAGTCACCCAGGTGCACCTTAACACTTTCTGCTTGGAGCTCCAGTGGACTCGAGTTAGATGAACTAGTTGCTACTTGGAGGAGTGAGTGGTTTGGAATAGACTTGGGCATTATTATCTGCACAAGTGGAAAACTGAGGTTTAGAATGCTTTCTGAAGCTGACCTACAAACAGTGAGCCATGTGACTCTCAGCCCCCAACCTTTTTCTCTGCATCTTTGCTGCTCAGAGTTTGGTTCTTGGGCCAGCTCTATGGACATCAAATGCAGACTCCTGGGTCCCATCTCAGACTGACTGAATTGGGATCTTTTTTTTTAACCAGATTCCCAGCTGACTTGCGTGGATACTGAAGTTGAGGAACTGGTCTAGATCACACTGCTCACATCAAAATGGCTTTAGCAAAGCTCAGAATATAGCAAGACCAACAACCAGAAAGTATGTGGGGCATATATGAGCAAGGAGAGGGGTTTTATCTTTACTTTTAGAATGAAAGGTATAACATGCAACCTTGCCCATTTCCTCTAGGCTCAGGGTGGGGAAGAAACTGTTTCAGTATCCTGTCTCTGGGGCAGCATTGGGCCATAGCTCCCCATGCTGGAGAAGCCCCCCCCCCCCCATCCCATGGATTGGACACACCTGGAACATCAGCCTGCCATAGGACACCAGTGCAGACAGGTTTTGCGCCAAGGGACAAGGACTGAGGGGGTATCATGCATCATCTGACAAAGTGGGGCATTCTCCCGGAGCGCCCATCCCAAGTGCACATCTGCCAGGCTGGAAGGGCACTTCTGCTTCTCGTGCCTCCTATGTGGAGTGCCGGCTACCCCAGCCACCCCTGGGTAGAGCAATATTTTGCCTTAGCCTCCTAGACTGAGAATTGCATACAGCTTCAAGATCACAATCTACCTGCTGTGTCCAGAAATATCAACTCACCTAGGCCACACCGTTCATTAATCACAGCACAGCCAGGAGTTGCTCCCAGCTCTCCTGATACCCAACTTGAGGCTCTATAAACGGCTGCAGAAGGTCTGGCTCGCCTTCCATGCCCTGGCCCTTTACTTTTAGCATCCCAGATTCTGCTACCTGCTTAGGTCCCAGGAAAGTGGGGTAGGGCCCATATTACTATGTGTTCTTAGAGCTGGTGTCCCAGTCACAAAAAGCAAAAACAAGAAGTATCTTTCCTTCCCTTATTCTGGTCTTTATTTAGGGTGAGCTGGGGAGGAGGCACCAAATATGACCTGACACAGGGTTGGCTCTGGGTCTCACATGGGTATTACTGGGGTGCTGGGCTGCAGGGCACCTGGAGGGCAGTGGCCCTTCCAGCTGTGCTGGACAACAGTTGACAGTGAAAAGTGGGAACATTGCCACCAAGAGGACTGGAGATAAAGTAACAAATTTCCCGAGGCTGTGAAAATACTTAAGGCAAAGGGGATAGCAGTTTATTGCTGCTTTTGGGTCAGATTCTCAGGACTTTCATAATGGATAAAGGCGATTTCAAGAATATCATGAACACATCTATCAAATGTTCTGGAAATAAATGTTCCATTGATGTGGTGGGGGAAAAAAGAAAACAGTAACACTGGCCAGGAACCAGAGTCACTCATCACAGCAAGGCGTTTTTCAGTGACAGTTTCCCCAGTGCAGGCATGGCTCTCAGAAAGAAATACACAGAACCCATAGGCAGACCTTGCAAACTCAATCTATAGAACAATGGCAGATATTTTGGAGGGATACTCTCCATTTCTTTCTCATATTGTTATGAAGGCAAGACGAAAGGCTCTGGGAAATAATTTTGCGGTGTTCACATATCAGACACCTTTTTAGTAAGGCCACTTCCCTCGGATGGCACTTGACCCTCTGCTCCAGGCAGGAGGGTCTTGGTCCTGGTGTGCACCTGGCATTTATACCTGCCTGCATGGACTCTTACTTTGCTAAGTGTCAGTTATGTGCTCTTGTCTGTCACCTTCACAGGATGGCAAGGTCCTTGGAAGCCCAGGTTATACCCAATTGTCTTGGCTCCCCCAGCACCACCATAAGCCTGGTATTCTGTAGGCACTCAGAAGTATTTGCTGAATAAATTAATGAGGGATAATTATACTACACATTTAGTCTCAGAATGGTATAACAAACAATCATTGGATATTTCAGGGGGTGAACTGTTTTTAAGAATAGTACATCTTGGGGTGCCTGGGTGGCTCAGATGGTTAAGCATCTGACTTCAGCTCAGGTCATGATCTCACGGTTTGTGGGTTTGAGCCCCGCCTTGGGCTCTGTGCTGACAGCTAGCTCAGAGCCTGGAGCCCGTTTCAGATTCTGTGTCTCCCTCTGTCTCTGACTCTCCCCTGTTCATGCTCTCTCCCTCTCTCTCTCAGAAATAAATAAAACAAACAAACAAAAAAAAGGATTGTAAATCTCATCATAATTGTTAAATGCTTGATAAATATTGAAATAAAGGTGAGAGTCTTTTATTGGTTGACAAAGTTAATAGTTGAGTTGTGCAGGGCTTTGCAGGTTATAGGGTAAGAGCTGCTTATTTTCCATGGTACTTGGATACAAAAGGGAAGTGATGGTGATAGAATCCTTGGCCATCTAAGACCAACCAGCCAGAAACCCAGGAATCCTGTGAGAGTGGCTGGAAGAACCCAGTTAATGAGAGAGAAGGAAATAGGTCACTGAAGACAGAGATCATGCTCAATGGGATTTGTTTTCAATAATCTGCATATCACACAGGTTCCTTCTGTGTGGCCACAAAGCCTTAAGTGGTTCGGAGGTGGGGCTGGGTGTTCTGTAGCCCAAGAGTAATTTTGTTCACAACTCACTTTTTCTGCCCCTAACATCATGACATATGTAGAAAACAGTGTGTGGCATGGTGCAGTAAACATTATGTTGTTTATGGCCAGAGGGCCTAGGCCCTCGGATTCGGGCCCCGCCAGGCCCACCTGGGCCTTATAGGGCCAGTGGTTGCTCTGTCAGCCCAGCTCTGTGTGTGCTGCTGCACAGGGTTGGAAAGCTCTGTCCCTGATGGCCCGTGGGTAAACTTTTGCGGCTGAGTAACTCCTCAGCCTGCCTGCCTCATGTAGGAGCCGTGGCTCTCCTTCTCTGACAAGCTTTATTAAGCATCCCAATGCATGTAGCTTCACACTGCCATTTCAGAGACATTGTGTCTGCCCTCGAGGATTGCCACCATCCTGTGTTTTTATAGGCAAAAGTCCAGCGGCACTTTCCTCCCTTTGACTCACAGAAGGAAAGAACAGTTATGAGCCACAGTATTTGTTCAGAAACACTCTTTCTGGAGAGCAGCATCCCAGAGTACTTATGCCTCTACTGACGTCGAACGTATGGGAAATGTCAACCGTTCAAATGCCAGGGTTAAAAAAGATTTTGTAGAGGAGACTACCTGTCAAATACAATTTTGAAGCCTACTGTAATTTCTTTGAGAGAAACTAAGCAAACCCAAACCATGTATGACATTGTTCAGAGGAGGTAAACTGATCTAGTTCGTCTTACTGAAAGTCAATCTTTAATCAAGCAGGCCCATGCCTAAATTGTTTCTACAAGTTGTCTTCCTCAGATTTTAAACAGGTGTTACTATCTCCTGCAGGTGGATTGATGCCATCCATGCATCACTTACAATGTCCAACATATGGAGCATCTGGAACCTACCATCAAAACCCATTTGTTACCCCTCCCAAAGCAGAAGTTACCACCCCCCCCCCCAAAGCTACCCCCTCCAAACCCACCTGTGTATCATTCCATCTGTGACACCAAATAAAAGGCCAAGGAAAGTTCTGGGCCATTGTACACCAGCTTCTTCCCTGGTAGCAGGTTTCCATATTCCCTTGC